GAAAATGGTAATTGAGTACAATGATTTAATATCATTTTCGAGATAACTAGGGAATTTCACACCAGAATGGTACATTCTCAATACCAGGGGTCTTTTGGTGCTTATACTGCAAATTAGCCGAGAGTTTTTTCTGACAGTTGTTGCTATGGTTATTTTCTTTTTCTGGTTGATGTATGATTTCTTGTAGTTTTTGTTGCTAGAGTTTCTTTGGACGTTAATGTATAGGTTGTTCGGGATGTTGTTCTGGCTGTTCTACTTGTTCTGAACAGCGAAATGGAGCTATATTAAAAAAGATCTACACAGGACAAGAAGTTGTAGAGAGCAATGATCGACACCCTCCTGCACATAGAAGACGACTACAAGTGAAAGAAATACAAAAATACAAGTACATCAAATTCTGATTTTTTTCGGATTTGAAACTATTTCGGTTCGATTTCTTAGACCTTTCCGAGCACTTTGCTTTTCGAAACTTTCTTAGATGTTTGTCAGATTTGAGAAGTGTTGAAAAGAAGCATTTATATTTCTTTTCCAAAAGAGGGTGGTATTATTATTATTATTATTATTATTACCTTTGATCTCTGGTGTGTACACATTTCGTTCCGGGTCCCGCCCAGGGGCCTAATAAATGGCACCATAACATTTTCCACTGATCGATTAAAAACACATACACACACAGATACACATATATTTTACATAGACAAAGCCCTTCGTAAGGTGTGGGCTGTAGTCGTGAGAACAATGTTTTGTATTCCTTTAAGGCATGGGCTTCCAGGAATCCTTTCAGTGAGTCTACTGGAATATTTTCCAATCAGACTACAACAGGTATTGTTGATGTTCCCATGTACCACATTTTTAAGATTTCGATTTCAAGGTCCTTGATTTTGATAGCTTTTTGAAGATCTTCAAAGATACATTTCATTTTGCAAGGACTGCCATATCAATAAGGAGGCCATTTTTTTTTTTTTTTTGGTCTCTAATAACGATGTCAGGGCGATTAGTTTTTTGTTCCCCCTGTGTGTATTGTGTAGTCTCATAAAATTGTTACAGTTTCTATCTCCGTAACCGGGTCTGGGTGGTGATAGTATTATCATTATCATTATTATTATTATTCTAAATGCTGCGATCCTTCCATATGTGCGCAATTATCCACCGATTTCTATTCTTTAGCACTTAGCAATGATTGTCTTTTTATCGTGGCTCTCTCGTCCTGTTCTGACGTCCATTTACACAAGCCTGTCCGTTAGGCTACACGTTGTTTTGCCCTTGCCTCCAATATGTACATGTGAGTGTTAGACTCTCCAAGCATCTTTTCTCTGGAGTCTGTCTATATTTCTGAGATGAGGTATTATGTACAGTATTTACATTAGTCGGACTATTGTCCTCATCTTTGTCGCCATATTTGTCACAACGTTTCGGCCGTTGAACTCACCTTCTTTGGGTCTGTCACTGGATCTAACCAACGCCTTTATCCACTATGGCACAGTGGATAAAGGCGTTGGTTAGATCCAGTGACAGACCCAAAGAAGGTGAGTTCAATTCCTGGTTAAGGCAGTGGAGTACTTTCAGAGGGAAAATTAGCAGGAGATAACTGATAACTGACATCCATCAAAACATGGCACGTGGAACTAGAACAGTCTACCCCAGTGAGCGAAATAATGGGTTCAGTTCGAAATTCCAACCACCCGAAGAAAGCCGGAGCGTACAACGGCCGAAACGTTGTGACAAATATGGCGACAAAGATGAGGACAATAGTCCGACTAATGTAAATACTGCACCTTTTCTCTATTATGGCCTAAAAATGTCAACTCTATCTTTTTCCGTAAAATTTCTTCGTTAATCACATCCTTTTTTTTTTTTTCTTTTTCAAAGAAAAAAAACAAACTTCGTAATATTTATCTCTCTCTTGGTATTGCCACTATATTTTCCTACTGAGATGATTTACTCAGATAATGAACTCCCAATTTCCAATGAAAACTTTCCACGGATTTTTTCCACTTGGATAAGATGGCGCCATTTTGGAACTTTAGCTCTAAGGCTTTTTATTTCTTAAGTAAGTTTTTTAAATGTTTGTCGTTAATCTATCTTTTTAATTTTGCTTACCAAAGGTTCGTTTGCTTACTTCGCCTTTCATGTATGTCTAATAAGATCCTCTATACAAATTATTACTCTTCAATGCTCTTCAAGAACATAGCAAGTTTCTCCTTTGTATTCCCCTTCACACCTGCAAGGTACACTTCCCTCTTGAACTTTTCTCCATTTCGTTATAAATCTATTGTGTTGTGGATGTCTAGACTGTTTCTACTTATAAATACAGTCCTTATGGTACATAACCCACAGAATTCTAAACGACAGGCCTCTTATGTAAGACAGAGTTTTTTTTCTGAAAATTCTTTCTTATCACATCTTCTAACGGAAGCTGCTACGAGGCGAGTGACGTTGTTATTTAATCGGAGGCTGTGCTTTGCGCAGATCGTCTCGTCTTATTAAGTGTCTAAGCTGCCAATAATGAGCTTTACTCACCGCTGTAGACAGTGGAAAGTTCCTTTCTGTATTCTGTATTTTGGGAATCGGGCCTCGGGTATTAGCTGGAAAACGCCGGCTTCCGATAAACGGATATCTTGAACCAAAGCTCTCTGCCAACCGGAAGCCAACAATGACAGCATCTCGTCTCCAAACTTTTGCGCCCGTATTTCTGCATACATCCATCAGTATCAATATATATATATATATATACGTACACACCCACAGACACACACACAAACGTACGCACACACACAATATGTAACATATATATATATATATATGTGTGTGTGTGTGTGTGTGTGTGTGTGTTGTGCAATGATAAATTCTCATACATGTATTATAGATTTTCAGCGTTTAATATGTTGAATAAGATCAATGTATAAATATAGTACAGTTTATACTCATATAAGTAAAAGGATATTGTTGCATATATATATATATATATATATATATATATATATATATATATATGAAGAAATATAGTCTTAAGGTATGCTATATTTATGGGATAAAGTGCTCAATATCAGAGATAGAGCGTGTGTAAATATAAAAGTGAACATAGAAGCCAACACTTAGAGGCGACAGTCTGTTTCATGCTATATGCAATCGTCAAGCCACGACTGCCTGACGATTGCATATAGCAAAAATTTCGAATATTTAAATTTGTAGTCTTTTTTTCAAACCTCTAAGTACCATTGAATCCATGTTCAATTTATATATATATATATATATATATATATATATATATATATATATATATGAGAGGAGGCACAGTTGAGTAATACATAGCGGCTTGGATTAAGGAATCGGAGAACCGAATTCGAATTGCAGTCGAATCTATTACATTCACGTACGTGCTAATACCCTTGGGAAAGGTATGGATCCCATGGCGAAATAGCAGGACAGACTGGGTTCTATAGACTTGGATGGCAACTGGACTAGGAGATGGACTGAATTCAAAATTTGCAGAAGGTTGTTTGCGAACCTTGCGGCATGTCACTGTATTTGGCCCTTCAAAAAAATGTGCATGGTTTTGCACAAAACCTTCACCAATATAATCATCATATGCTGGTTCATCTGCTTGCTCCTCATGCGTCGAATACACACACACAGATATATATATATATATATATATATATATATATATATATATATATATATATATATATATATATTCTACAGTACAAAAAAAAAGAGCTCTTGGAGTCATTGAAAAGAAAAGAATGGAATCAATTTTCAAACTTCTGCTTTGAAAAACTTTTGCATTAAATGCCAAAAAATTGTGTGCCAGTAAAGCTAAACGAGGATATTTTGACGGGAGCAAAATTTAATCATAAAATGCTTTTTATTTTTTTTTCAAAATAAAATTTCTAATAAAAAAACCATGTCTTATTTTTTTTTAACAATTTATAATAATTTTCTTGTGTTTAAAGTACAAAACAACTACTTTTAGGACCAATTTAAAAATTACCAGGGATTGCCTCAAATTTTTGAACTGTCTTGTATATATATATATATATATATATATATATATATATATATATATATATATATCTTTTGTAAAATCCATATGTAAATTTATATTTATATGAATACATATGTATTTTTTCAATGCATTCATGTACGCATGAGATTACACTATATATCTATGTGTGATTTCTGAAGAAATAATGAATTTTTTATTTATTAATCCGACATAATTCTAATAAATTATTGTTACCTAGAAAGGATTACTGAATGAGTAATAACCAAAACGGAGGTTGGAAATGAAATGGTAATCTTTATAACATCAACAAAATACATTACTCGCCAGCGGCGTGAAGTAGGTAAACCACTGATAGTGGTGGACTACTTAGACAGCATATTACTCCCACTTACAATAGTGTCCAGCGTATTTATGAGGATTGGGACATTAGTGTTCATAGGTAGGTATATAACACTATCTATTACTGTCTGTTATCTATCTATCTATCTATCTATCTATCTATCTATCTGTGTTGTAACCTGGGAAGGGCCACTGAACGAGGGATAACGAAATTTTTTTTTGAAAATGAAATGGTAATCTTTATAACATCAACAAAATCCAATACTCGCCAGCGGCATGAAGTAGGTAAACCACTGCTAGTGGTGGACGACTTAGACAGCATATTACCCCCACTTAAAACAGTGTTCAACGTATTTATGAGGATTGAGACATACTCCTTAGTGTTCATAGGTACGGTATATAACACTATCTATTACTGTCTGTTCCCTATCTATCTATCTATCTATTTTTATTGAAACCTAGGAAGAGTTACTGAATGAGCAATAACCAAAACGGAGGTTGGAAATGAAACGGTAATCTTTATAACAAAAGACAATACTCGCCAGCGGCATGAAGTAGGTAAACCACTGCTAGAAAGCATATTACCCTCACTTACAATAGTGTCCAACTTATTTATGAGGATTGGGACATACCCATCAGAGCTAATAGGTACGGTATATAATAGATAGATAGATAGATAGATAGATAGATAGATAGATAGATAGATAGATAGATAGATTATGACAAATCATAGATAGATAGATAGATAGATAGATATGAACAAATTTTTATTGATAGTTATTGACAAATTTTGATAGGTATGGACAGATTGAGATAGATAGATAGATAGGTAGATAGATAAGGACAAATCATAGATAGATAGATAAGGATTAAAAATGGCTAGTGGTGTAACCTAGAAAAGGTTACTGAATGAGGAATAACCAAAACAGAGTTTGGAAATGAAATGGTAATCTTTATAACATCAACAAAATACAATACTCGCTAGCGCCGTGAAGTTAGGTAAACCACTGCTAGTAGTGGACTGCTTAGTATATTTCCCACCCACTTACAATAGTGTCCAACGTATTTATGAGGATTGGGGCATACCCATTAGTGTTCATATGTACGGTAAATAGACGGAGTATCTACAGAAATATGAGTATCCACTAAAAATAACGTTTAAAGTGATAAAAACAGTCGGAGTGAAAAATTAAAAAAAACATTACTTCTCGAGAAATAGTTTTGTTTACGTTTGGATAAGAAACTGAGCAGATGTAAAAGTTTCGAGAGTCTATGATGAGAAGGAGTTCGCTTAAAGGCATTATTCAGCAGGCCCAGATTGGTAGATCTTCTTCGTGGCCAAGACGGTTAAGGCACGTCGGATATAACGACGGTTCCATCTTCCCAGCTGGACGCAGGTTCGAATATTACCAGACAGAATATCATCACTTAAAATAGTAAATCATTTCAAATATCTTGGCTCGATTATCAGCAAATCAACATATTATCTAAGTTGGTAGGTGGTCACTATCACGAAAAGAACATGCACAGATTCATTCTCTCATTTCAAACACAGACATTATGAGTGTCCATTGTCAGTAAAAGAGATATCAGATATCTGTAGGAAATAGCAAAATCTTAGATAATATGACATCCTGTGAGGTCCGAATATGCACCTGGTGGCTAGGTTGATACCTTTCGGGTTAACTTGCTAATGCACGTGGTTTCGCTTATGCTCACGTGTGACTCATTTGAATAATTTGGTACCTCTTTGTGTGAGCCCAGTACATATCTGGGGCACCACAGATCAACTTCGCTGAGAAAAGTGCTCCTTACAGATATTAAATTCGATTCCGATCATTTACTGTTTCTAGACGGGAATCACATACTACAATAGTAATATCGAACAACATCGTCACAAGTGAAGAAAATATCTGGAGTGATTAAGAATATAATTGACAATAAACACAAAGAAGAATCTGCAATGTTATTGGTCCTGACCTGGCATCACGGCGTCAGTCACTTTCCTACCACCATAATGTAGCTACTCTATAAACATGTTCTTTGTAATTGTTCTGAATAGTTTTACTCTTTGGCACTTAGACTTTATTAATTTAAATGTACTACCAGACAGGCGGCTCGTCGTCCTAATTATGACAATAAACTACATCTGGCAGCAATGCCTCTGATCGGAAGATTGGAGGTTTTGAGGTGCGTAATACCACCTCTTAATTGCTAGTCTTGGGTATGACGATAAACTACATCCGGCAGCAAGGCCTCTGATCGGGAGGTCTTAAGAAGCGTGGAAACAGCTCTTAATTGCTATTCCTTCCATGTTCGCCATGGCCCAGGGTGGTAGCACCTGTTAGAGTATGAGCAAATAGTGAACCCACAAACTGGGGTCAAAACCCTATGAAACTCTAAAAATACATTTTTATAGTAAAAATACCAGCAAAACATTTTTCTGAATAAACAAATATTAAAAGCAATATATTGTTGTAAATAAACAAAAATATTGCCAGCAATACATTTTTCTGTGAAAGAAATTACTGATGCTCTCAAGAAAATTAAATTTCGGCATTAAATGACCCATAAGGTGTTTATATGCCGCTAAACAAACAAATAGACTGGTGGCAAAGTTTCATCATCATACAGTTGAAATGGCTCGGTGTTCTATAATAATAGTTTCTTTTCTCGCACTTCACGCTTGTGGAACTTTATTCTGGTTTCTTGCTTTCCTGTCGATATTGATCTTCAAAAATTTAAATGCAATGATAGTTGTTATCTTCTATCTTCTTAATCTCTGTTCTTTTATTATACTCTCTCCTTAATAATTTTTTTAATACTCTCTCTTAGTGGCTTTATTGCCTTGAAAGGATTTAAAAACAAAATGACAAATGAGGACGAGTTAAGGCTACTCTGAACTACGAAAACATTTACTAGGATAATAAGAAAAGAAAACACGGGGAATTTAACACTCGAAAAGCAAGGGAACCAAGAGAGTAACCAATTTGAGAACTTTAGCGGGATGTAATGGTTAACGTACTATTTTGTTTGATCATTACTATTGAGTATAGATTTCGATCCACACTCTATGCCTTATACATGTAGCTTTCTACCAAAACGCTTAGTAAATAACCAGGAGTTACCTACTTGTGTGATTTGTTTAACCTAACTAGTATTGAGTTTGTTAAACGAAATAAAGGAAGCTGTGGAGAGAAATGATTGCCTTCGTCATGTTAACACATAGTAGATAAAGTGTTTGAGGGGAGTAGAGAAAGAGAGTTACACCAATATTCTTAACTTTTGGAGCAAAGCTTGTATTTCAGGAAATCCAGACGTCAAAGATTTGCTTCCAGTGATTGTGTAGTCGATGTTCAATCGATTTCCGTTGCGTTTCAAGCAAATGTGGTTTATTTTCTCCTGTCCTGATCATTCATGAGCAAAATTCTTTCTTTCTAAGATTTAAAAAAAAATGGGGGAGTTAAAAATACATGAACTGAATAAAGTCACCTTTGCCACAATAATTCGATTGGTGCCAACTGAAAAGGTCATCGTAAATGACCAGTCCTCTGACGCCCATGAGATCAATGCTACCGTCCACCAAGACTCTGTTTGGTTCTAACTTTTTACTACTTTATATTAACGCTCTTCACAAAGACATTATTATTATTATTATATTTCCTTTGATATCTGGCGTTTACACATTTCTTTCCGGGTCCCGCCTAGGGACCTAAGGTTAGAAATGGTATCATGACACTTTCCACTGACAAAAAAAAATTACATAGAAGTGTGGGCTGTACTTGTCAGAACAATTTTTTGTATCTTCTTGAGGCATGGACTTCCAGGAATCCCTTCAATTAGTCTACTGCAATCTTTTCCAACCAGTCGTAGGGCTCCAACTACAACAGGGATTGTTGATGTTCCCATATGCCACATTTTGGAGATTTCTATTTCAAGGTCCTTGTACTTTGACAACTTTTTGAATATCTTCAAAGATACATTGCAGTCTGCAGGGACTGCCATATCAATAAGGAGGCACTTTTTTTTGTTTGTGGTCTTTAATAACAATATCTGGGCGGTTGGCCTTGATTGTTCTGTCAGTGTGTATTGTGTAGTCCCATAGAACTGTAACAGGTCCTATCTCCGTAACCGGGTCTGGGTGGTGTTCATACCAGTTTCTTTCAGTTTCCTTCCCGTAGAAGTTGCAGATTTTCCAGTGCAGATATTGGCCCACTCTGTCATGCCGGGTTTTATATTCAGTGGGTATCAATATCGTGCAACCTGATACAAGATGATCAATCGTTTCTGGATATTTATCACGGAATCTGCATTTTGGGCTGACACAATATTTTAGTATATGTGCTTGATAATTCCTAGTTAGCAAGCATTGGTCCTGTGCAGGAAGGATAAAACCTTCAGTTTCAGCTTTCAACGCTGCACTACGTAGCCACTAATGGGTACGGTTTTTGTCTACGTCAGCTTGTTTGGTACGAGCGGAGTATTGGCCATGAAGCGGTTTATCTTGCCATTGTTTCTGAATCTGGTCAGTTGCATTTGTCTTTGCTTATTATTATTATTATTATTATTATTATACTATATTATTATATCTTCTTCTTCTTCTTCTTCTCTTTCTTCTTCTTTGTGTATCTTATGTTTCCTGCTTTGTATCCTGTAGAGCCGGGTTCAAACTATGATCCTTAGGCCCTATTAGAGAATTATCATTTTAATTGATAGCACTTTTTTTAGTATATGGGATGTTCCTAGTAGGGCGATTTTCTGAGCAACTTGTATATTGATGTTACCCGGGTCACTTAGTAAAATTGTCCATTCCTTTTCTCACAAGGCCCAGTGCTCCAATTACTGTTGGTACAGTCTCAGTCTTCATTCATGCTAATCTCGATCTCCAGGTCCTTGTATTTATACAATTTTTCAAATCTTTTCATGCATGTGACTCTCTCAGACGGTAGTGCTATGCCAATAAGCATACATTTCCGGAATTCCATGCCTTTTATGATAATATCAAGTTTGTTGGCTTTTATTTCCCTGTCGGTTTGAATTGGCATGTCCCAAAGGTTAATTACATCGTTATTTTTGGTAACTGTGCCCAGTCGGTGGTCATACAATCTCTCAGTGGTTTCGATTTTGTGCTTCTTAAATATCTTCCAGTGCACATATGTCACTATCTTGTTATTTCTGTGGGTATATTCATTTCTTGCTAGTTCCGGTCATCCTGAGATAATATGGTCGACAGTTTCATCATATTTTCCGCAGATCCTGAATTTCGGGTTAGTTCCATCCTTGATTATGTGACAGAGATAGGATCTGGTTACGAGGTTTTGGTCCTGAGTTGCAATAATTAGGCCTTCTGTCTCAGCTTTCAACCCGTTGCTTCCCAGCCACTGATGTGTTTTCTGTTCCTGCACATCTGCTTCTTCCATTCCTTGTTTTTTTTATTAAGTTTAGGCATTAATATAATTTTCAATTGGCATATGATTTAGGGAGTAATTTTGTTATCGTGAATTAATAGATGATTTAATTAGACGTAATTTATATTGTACCTAATCTTCCGTATTTCATAGATTTCAAGTATCTATTACATAAGTTCCTATTTAAACCAAAGCGAGAATTTTGGTCGGTCCGCACATAAGAACATTCATTAAAGACAGCAATTTTTCTAATGTCATGAATGAACGCGAAAAGAATGCTTGGCTCTCATTCGTAGAAAACAATTTAGGCAATTATGGAGCAG